AGGACGACCACGAGGAGGAGGAGGAGGAGGACGAGGACGAGGAGGGCGGGGGCCGGCGGCGGCGGGGGCTCGGGCGGGTGGAGGAGAAGCCCCGAGGGGGCGCGGAGGAAGAGGAGGACGACGAGGACGACGAGGATGAGGAGGTGGTCGTCGAGGTGGTGGACGGCGATGAGGACGGCGAGGACGGCGAGGAGCGCTTCGTGCCCCTGGGCCCCGGCCGCGCGGTCCTCAAGGGCCCGGCCCGGGGCGCGCTGAAGGTGCGTGCAGGGCGCGGTGGCGCGCGCGGGACCCGCCGGCCGGGGGAGAGGGACGGGCCCGGGCCCTGGCTGGAGACGCGGGCTGAGGCCGGAACTGGCGACCCGGAGGGGTGTGTCTGCGGCGCTGGCTGCGGGCCGGGGCGAGGGAACTGTTGATTTGCTCGCGCCTCGAGCCCCGTTCACCACTCCGAGGCGGCTGCTCCCCGTTTTTCAAAGGCCAGGTAGGGTTTGTTGGCCCCTGTGGGTCCAGGAAAAGGTCGCTTCACCCTAGAGGGGTGGGGAAGTTGGAGATGGGACGAGGTAGACACAGGTGTGCGCCCCGTGGGGACGGGCGAGGTGCGGGGTGAGATTTTGTTCTTTCCCAGGGACGCAGGAATGTCCCCTTCTCCGTATTTTGAGGGCTGTCCAAGCTTATTGCAACTGACAAGTGGCTTCCCTTGTCAGTGTCGCAGACCCTTCTTCATCCACCAACGTTGTTGATTCGTTTCTATCACAGACGCTTGTGAGAGAACCGGTAAGCCCAGTATTGCAAAAACCAAGCCCTGGGTTTCTCCATGCATTTTGCCATCAGCTTTTGGCATTGCCCCCTCCCTCCCTTGTTTAAAGTCGACATTCTTTAGCATTCTTCCACCTTCATAACTGCAAAGGAGGGAAAAAAAAAAAAAAAAAGAGGAAATCAGGAAAAGCGAGGGTGGGGGGTGTGTGTGGGAGATCTGGCATTTAAAATGTATGTGTTTCTGCCGAGAATTCTAGCAAAGTCTCCCATTCACTGAAACACCGAGGGAGCTTTCCGTTTGTGTATCTTCAGGAGATAAGGGGTTTATTATTACACAACCGAGTGGTTGGGCTTTCAGGCGTGCGATTGGACAAAGCAAACCACGTTGAGTTTCATGCAGGGTGCATGTCGCTAAGAAGTTTTGAGGGCAGCAAGTGGTAAGCGATGGAGTGACTGATTTTTCTCCAGAGTGAGTTTCAGAATCAAAACTGAATAACTGCTTACTGGAGTTTTCAGAAGACATGGTATTTCAGGAAGAAATATACATAAACAAGTGACCTTAATAGATAGGGACTATCTAAAAATAATCTTTTGGGGCTTGAAAAAAAAAAAAAACCTCATCAAGCATGAAATTGCAGTTCCAAAGAAATGTTAAACATTAGCAGTTAGACTAGACCCAGGGTAAATGTGGCACAAATTTCTTTCCTAGACCACCCTGGAAGTACCAGCACTAGGAGTGAGAAATAATCAGCAGATAGTCATTTGGAATGATTGTTTTTGACAGCTGCTTGTTAGAATCCAGACCGTGACCACGCTCATTACCATGGTCTGCTAAGAAGCCTGCCTTATATGACTACAGGATGTAGCTGTGCTTGGCATTAAGTCACACGGCATCAGTGACATTGACTAACAACAGTAGTGATCTGCCAGCATTTTTTATCTAGAAATATTGAAAATACGTCTTGTGGTTTGAATAGTGATTGCACAATTTGTGATAGAAAGAAAAATAATCATTTGTGTTCTGGGATCAAGGAAAATCTAATGTAGGAAAAAAATCAAATCTGTAATAACAGAAAAACTAGGATGTGATAATTCACATTATCAAAAAATATTGTTCACAGCTCCAAACAAATGTCTTTAAAAGTGTGCTTCATTTTCCAGCACTTTGGGATGCCCACAACTTTTCAGAAGCGTATGTATTGAATAGTTTCAGGTATAATTCAGTCACTTTTTAGTGCTTTAAAGACATCTTGACACTGCATCTGAAGAGATTTTTAATGGAATATAGCAAGATAATTTTTGGTATAATGCGTATAAAAATGGCACCATCTTATATATATTCATGTATTTATTTAGCAAGTATTTATGGACCACCTCCTATTGCCAGATGCTGTTCTAGAGCACAGTCCTCAACGCCTTCCAGATGCTCAAATCCGGTAGGGGGAATCATGGCAATAATCAAACACCTAGGTAAATAAGTATGACCTGGCAGATTGTGATATTATGCTAGGAGGGAAATACTGATACCTTAGGAGGAAGAAAGCTACTATGGGGAAGACCTCTCAGAGGAGGTGACATTTGATCTAAGACATGCAGAGTGGATGGAAGATCTTTCCAGACAGAGATAATAGCAACTGCAGTAAGTCTTGAGATGGGAAGGAAAAAATGAGTGTGGCTGGAACTTTGTAGGTATGAGATGTGCCTGAGAGGCAGCTGTTGAGGGTGTTGAGCCTAGTGGGCCCTTTCTGAGTAGAGTGTGAAGTCTTTGGAAAGTTCTAAGCAGTAATGGCGTATAAGGTAGTCTGTATTTTTAAAAAGGTCCCGCTGGGGGGAGTACAGAGGACAGCATTAGAAGCAAGGAGCCCACTTGGGTGGCTGCTTTCACTGCAGTCCAGGTGTGAGGAGGGGAGGATGGCTTGGACTAGGTTGCTGGGAGTTAGTAGAGGAGTGAACAAATTCTGGATCTGTTGTGAAGATTGACCTGTGAGAACCTGCTGATGGGTTGAGTGAGGGCATGAAAGGAAGGCAGGAATCGAGGATGAAAGCCTGATTTAAAGCTTGGTTAGATGCGCCATTTACTGAGAAAACTGGAGAGCAGCAGGGATTTGATGGAAAGCTTGGTTAGATGCGCCATTTCCTGAGACTGGGAAACTGGAGAGCAGCAGGGTTTGTGAGGGAAGAATCAAGTGTGCTGTGTTGCGCTTGTTAAGTCTGAGGTGATCATTAGACATCCAAGGGGAGATTGCAGATAGGCTGACGAGGGTGGGATGTGGAGCTGCGGGGAGAGCCCAGAGTAGGGAGGGAAATTTGGGAGTCATCAGCATGTTGATGTCATTTCAAGTCTGAGGACTGAAAAAGGGAGTGCAGTGGGCGAACAGGGGAGCTTTGGACCAGGTGGTAGGGCACAATACCATTCATGTTTGGACAAAGCCAGCAAAGATGGGTCAAGAATCAGCAGCTAAGTAGGTAGGAGGAAAAGGGGAGAATATAAAGTCTAGTAGCCAAAAGAAGAGAGTTCCAAAAAGTGGGAGTAGTGAACTGTGTTGGATATTGAATAAGATGAGGATATAGACTTGTTCATTTAGGTTAAATAATGTGGAACTTACTGGTACTCCTGACAAAAGCAGTTTCAGTGGTGTAACTCCAGTGGGTTGAGTAGTCAGTGGGAGATGAGGATGTAGTGATACATACGGAAAAACTCTTGACCAGTTTTGTTGGAGAGGGGAACAGAGAGAAGGGGCGGTAGCTGGAGGGGATATGTATTAGTTGTTTTTTAAGATAGATGCAGTAGACTGTAGTGTAGTGACTAGAGCATGATGGGAATTATCTGATAGAAGGAGAGTATATTAGCTTTCTATTGCTGTGTAACAAATTATACCAATTTGTCACTAAAAGCAGTCCTCACATTTTCAATGGGTAGGAGTCAGACTTAGCTTAACTGGGTCCCCTGTTCAAGGCCACACAAGGCTGCCGTCGAGGGCTGAGTTCTCATCTGAAGGTTTGACTGGGGAAGAATTTGCTTCCAGTGTCATTCAGGTTGCTGGCAGAATTCATTTCCTTACCTCTGAGGGCCTGGTTTGTGGCTGGCTGTTGGATGGAGGTTACCCTCAGCTCCTAGAAGAACCCACTGCCATTTCTTTTAATGAGGGCTTCCTCATTGTGGCCACTCACTTCACCAAGACAGCAAGGAAACCCTCTAGAGCTTGTCGCTGCTAGAGGATGGAGTCTCCTATAGTGTAATCAAGGAGTAACGTCGCATCGCCTTTGCTGTATATATTCTGTGGGTTTGAGCAAGTCACACTTAAGGGGAGAGGATCATACAGGGGCATGGATACCAGGAGGTGAGGACCATTGGGGTTACCTTAGGGAGGATCCGAAGTTGTAGACAGAAGAGGGGTGAGTGCAGGAGTAGAGCCTTTGGAAAAGTGATAGGGGCAGGGACCTGGAACCCAAGTAGAGGGGTTGGCCTTTGATAGAAAAGCAAGAGTCCTTTTCCATTGACTGAGAAGGTGGGAAGAATGAGCCCAGATGTGGGTAGTTTTGTGTATTGGTGGTGGTCAGATGAAGCGGTACTTGTCTGATGGCTTCTGTGTTCCCCACGTGGCAAGAGGGGAGATCATCAGCTGAGAGTGGTTTTCGTTAAGAGCTGAAGGCGTGCTGTAGCGTTTCCAGAGGGTGGGAGAGAAATGACTGGGGAAATGAAATAGAGTTTGTGGTTATGCATTTACAGTGCAGCAGTCCCTGTGTGTGATTTTCCCAACCTCATTCCATTGGCTCATGCACAGAATAGTAAATAATACAAACAACAGAGCCTACGTTTATTAAGTACTCGCTGTGGCCAGTACCAGTCTAAGTGTATAATCTCATTTAAACTTCATAACAGCAGCATTGGTCAGGCATGCTGCTTCTTATCCTTGTTTTTCAGAAGGGATAAGCAACTTGACTTCAAGAAAAGGGGTTTGAGCCCTGGCAATCTAACTCCAGAGCTAGTTCTCTTGAACGTTACACTTTACTGCCTCTTGTAGAGAAAGCAGAGAGCTAGATCCAACAGGGGTGGGGTTTAGCGAGGGGGGCAAGCAGTGGAAAGAAAGAGAGGGTCATTGTTGAGGGAGTTGGCATGGCTGTGACTTTAATGATGGACATTGAGCCTGGTGGTGCAAGGTTAAGCACTTGGCTGCTAACCAAAAGGTTGGTGGTTCGAACCCACCCAGTGACCCTACAGGTGAAAAGACCTAGCCATCTGCTTCCGTAAACATTATAGCCAAGAAAACCGTATGGGGCAGTTCTACTCTGTCACATGGGGTTGCTATGAGTCAGAATTGACTCAACGGCACCCAACAATAACAACAACATGGGCCCTAAGAGAAGTGAGGACAGAAGGAGAGTGAGGGATTGTGAAAAAATCATTGGTCAGTGAATTAGGGGAATCGAAGAGTAAACCAATAAAACCATTCTAAGAGTGGGAATGAGATGCATGACATTTGGAGTTCCAGGATAATGTTAATACAAATTAATATTTGCTGAATACTCATTATGAGCCAGGAACTGTGCTAAATGCTTTACAGGAAGGAGGATTTAATGAGACATTATGACTTGGGAATCCATGTGGCGCCCTCATGCTCCAGCGGAGGATACTTAGGGGTGATGCAGCACGCTGGAGACCTGCGGCCTGGGGGGGAGCGTGGGTTCACATCTGGGCTGTCTGATGCCATTGCCTGTGCTTTC